TTTTGTTACTGGACTCCCGTTAACCCGGAAGAAGTTTGATGCGATTTGGGTCGTTGTTGATAGGCTGACCAAGTCAGCACATTTTGTTCCTGTTGCAACCACTTATTCATCCGAGAGATTAGCTGAGATCTATATCAGAGAGATTGTTCGCCTTGATGGGGTGCCGATATCCATCATTTCGGACCGGGGTACGCAGTTTACCTCACGCTTCTGGAGAGCAGTTCAGCGAGAGTTGGGCACCCAGGTTGAGTTAAGCACAACATTCCATCCTCAGACGAACGGACAGTCCGAGCGGACTATTCAGATATTGGAGGACATGCTCCGAGCTTGTGTTATTGACTTTGGAGGATCGTGGGATCAGTTCTTGCCTTTAGCGGAGTTTGCCTACAACAACAGCTAACAGTCCAGCATTCAGATGGCTCCTTATGAGGCGTTGTATGGTAGGCGATGTCGGTCCCCAGTGAGATGGTTTGAGCCGGGAGAGGCTCGGTTATTGGGCACAGATTTAGTTCAGGAGGCCTTGGATAAGGTCAAGATCATTCAGGATAGGCTTCGTTCGGCTCAGTCGCGGCAAAAGAGTTATGCAGATCGTAAGGCTCGAGATGTAGCCTTCATGGTTGGGTATTGCTCCGAGTGTTGCCTATGAAGGGCGTGTGAGATTTGGGAAGAAGGGCAAGCTTAGCCCTAGGTTCATTGGTCCATTTGAGATTCTCGACCGTGTGTCCAGTTTTTCATGTGTCCATGCTTCGGAGGTATCACGGCGATCCAGCCCACGTGTTAGATTTCAGCACTGTCCAGTTGGACAAGGATCTGTCTAATGAGGAGGAGCCAGTGGCTATTCTAGACCGGCAGGTTCGACAGTTGAGATCGAAGAGTTTTCCTTCAGTACGAGTTCAGTGGAGAGGTCAGCCTCCTGAGGCATCGACCTGGGAGTCCGAGTCTGACATGCGGAGCCGTTATCCTCATCTATTTCTCGACTCAGGTACTTCTTTCTTTTGTCCGTTCGAGGACGAACGATTGTTTTAGAGGTGGAGAATGTGACGACCCAAAGGGGTCATCACTTGTTTTCCCTTTCATTCCGTGCTTCTGAGGCCTTGAAAACCTCATTTTTACTTGCCTCGATTTGCGTGCGCAGTCCGGGCGCATAGCCGGAAAGCTTAAATATGAATTCTGTGTAAAAAATGATGAATTTTGATATTAATATGATTAAAGTTGACTTTGGTCAACATTTTGGGTAAACGGACCTGGACCCGTGATTGGACGGTCCCGGAGGGTCCGTAGAAAAATATGAGACTCGAGCATATGCCCGGAGTCGAATTTCGAGGTCTAGAGCCCGAGAAATGAATTTTTCTGTGAAATTGTTTTTCAAATATTAATATGGAAATTTGAAAAGGAAATTGATTAGAACGTGTTGGTATCGTGCCTGTATTTTGGTTCCGGCGCCCGACACAGGTCTTATATATGGTTTAAGCGCTTTTTGTGAAATTTGGTTGAAATCGGACGTCATTTGACGTGTTTCGGACCTAAATATCTAAAAATAAAAGTTTATGAAGTTTGAAGGAAAAGTGATGATTTTGAGGTTTGATTCCTCGTTTATGATGTTATCTTGGCGATTTGATCGCACGGTTAAGTTCGTAGGATGTTGTTGAGTTAGAGTGTGTGGTTGTTTAGGAGCCCCAAGGGCTCAGGAGTGTTTTCGGGGGTGTTCCGGGAGGTTTAGAACTTAGAATTTCTGCAGAAAAATCTGCAGCAGTGCACAGGACCTCCCTTCTTCGCGATCACGACTTCCCCTCCACGATCGCGATGCCTTCACTGCTCTCTACTTCGTGTTCGCGATCCCCCAGCACGCGTTCGCGTAGCTTCAGTGTCCCCTTCAACGCGATCGCGTTAGGCCTCACGCGTTCGCGTAGGCCAAACCTTGGACCCCCAGTAATTTTTCCTCTACGTGTTCGCGTTACTCGACCCGCGATCGCGATTCTCTGCCCCTGTGACCCTTCGCGAATGCATCCCCATTTCCGCGAACGCGAAGGGTAAATCTGCCCAGTTATATTTTAATTTTCAGAACAGTATATATGGTCGCAGATTTTCATAAAAACATCCGAGTTCCTTCTTCTCCAAGGTCCTTAGGTCTCCATTGAAGCTTCCTTTCATCAAGACCTCTTGGGTAAGTAAATTCCCACTCATTTCCTTCATTTTCCTTCATTAATTAGCAAGTTCTAAGCCTAAATTATGTAATCTAGGGTTGGAAATTGGGGGAAATGGGTAGAGTTAGGGCTTTTCAATTTTTCTTCAATTTAGACCTCGTTTTGGGGTCGAATATGAAAACAAATTGTATATTTGGGCTAGTGGGGAATGGGTGATATGAAATTGGTTCGAACCTCGTATTTTGACCAAGCGGGCCCGGGGTCGATTTTTAGAAATTTTGGAAGAAAGGTTGGGAATCTATATTTAGGCATTGGGTTGATTTGTTTAGCTTATATTAATGTTGTAAAGTCGTTATTTCGTAGATTTGATTGAGTTGGAGCCGATTTCGAGAGGGAAGGCGGTCGTTGTGGATTGATTTAGCTGTGGAAGTTGAGGTAAGTGTTTGGTCTAACTTTGGCTTGAGGGAATAGGAGTAGAGTCTTATTTGTTAATTGCTATTTGTCGAGTACGGTGTATAGGCATGGTGACGAGTATCTATACACTGGTGTCGAGCATGACCGTGAGTCCTAATTTGCTAAATTATCGAATTTGTAATTGTTATTTATGAGGAATTGGTTGGAAATCTTTAACACTGAGCCAGTAATTGTTGAGACTAAGTGTGGATTTAATTGTGTTAAGTAGAGATTGAATGAGTTTGGTTATAGCTGGATCTCCCTTGCCGGGATAGTTTATTATATTACATTGCTCCCTTGCCGGGATAGTTTATTATATTACATTGCTCCCTTGCCGGGATAGTTTATTATATTACATTGCTCCCTCGCCGGGATAGTTATTATAACATCTTTCTCCCTTGCCAGAATTATGTTGTGTATTGTGTTGAAAGAAATGGGATCGTGTGGCATGCCGACCACGAGATATTATGAAATGGGATCGTGTGGCACGCCGACCACGAGTTATTATGAAATGGGAACGTGTGGCACGCCGACCACGTGATATTATTGTGATGGGAGCGTGTGGTACGCCTACCACGTGATGTAAGGAAATGGGATCGTGTTGCACGCCTGCAATGAGAGGAAATTGAAATAAGTGAAAGTGGTTTGTTTTCCTTTATTCTGTGTTAGAAGAAATCAGATGTAGTTTCTCTTGTTATTCCTGATATTCCGTTTATCTGCTTCCCCATAAGCATGTTTCCCCCCTCCCAGCTTTAATTGCTTACTTTCCGCTATTATTTTGTTGTACTTGTATATATATATATCTGCACAGGTTTATCTGGTAGTCTGGTCTAGCCTCGTCACTACTTCGCCGGGGTTAGGTTAGGTACTTACCAGCACATGGGGTCGGTTGTGCTGATGCTACACTCTGTGCATCTTTTTGCACAGATCACAGTACCGGAGCAGCAGCTTTTGGACAGCAGTAGGAGCATTTGGGAGCTGACTTCAGTCCAGAGATCCCGAGGTAGCCTTGCTGACATCCGCATGGCCCGTAGTCTCTTCTATCTTTACTTTAGTTTGTTATCCTTTGTACCGGAACAAACAGAACTATGTTTTTGTTCAGACTTTGTATTTAGCATTCTCTAGACGTTCCTGAGTCTGTGACTCCAGTTCTTGGGTAGAGTTGTATTGAACTTACGCATTGTTCTCCGTTTATTTATGCTTAAGACTTCCGCTTTTATATTAAATGCTTCGTTGTTTTTATTAATGTCGAGGTTTGCTAAAAGACATAATAAATAGTCGGCTTGCCTAGCTCCTAATAGTAGGCGCCATCACGACTCCCGAGGGTGGGAAATCCGGGTCGTGACATAAAATGGGCAGTTCAATCACATTCGTCATTGAAATATGGGCAGTTCATCAGCTGCTGCTTCTGCTGCCACCATTGCCTGGAGTCTTGCAATCCTTGCCATGGGGTAAGTCAATAGTGTTTCTCATATTCTTCTACGAAAACGGTAAATACATTTGGTGTTTACACGCTAAATAAATGCAAAACATGTGTTTTTTATATAAACTTTTATCATTTTATACATATTGTCACGTTGATTTTAAAGTATTAAGATTAAATTGCTTAGTTCAGTATTCTCAAGTTCACAATCTATTTTTGCTTCTCAACATATAACTTACAGTAATGTTCTCCGTGGAGTTTTGCCTGGAAAAAGCCAGACTAAAAAGTACATTAATTAAAGTTAATTTTATGGTTGTTAATTCTTTGCAAACTTATGGAAAATGCTAGTCGTAGATTCCGCTTTTTAATTGTTTTTTCATTCATTCGCTCAATTGGTATATTTAGCTGCCATTCTTGGTGCTGCAACAAGGAGATAGTCGATCTTTGGACTGATTCTATCGCGTGTGGAATGGATCGAGTTTTCTATTTCTTTCTGAATTGTTTATTGTCAATGTTTCAGATAAATTTAGCCAGAGGATGGCTGTTTATATTTCAACTACCTTCTCTCATTCTGTATCTGTATATGAAAATGAGTAATACACAATCCAGAACTACTTGCTTAGACTAATGTATTACCGACTCAGACAAAGATCAGACTTTAAAATTGAATCAATATTCCTACCAAAGTAAAGTTGCTGTGGTACCCGCAACTCTATGGAACATGATGTCACTGCACACACGATAGAAATTTTCTCTCAAAACCAAAAGATATAGCATAACATGGGTGAAAAAGAGTACTTGGGAGCAAACAATCAGTACAGATTTGACAAGTCTTTCCACAAAGCTTATTATCGTATATTTGAACACGCATTTGACTTGGTGAAGAACCCATAAGATGTGAATGTCTCTGCCTAATCACATTCTAAACCATGATGACTACACGAGTTTTCACGAAAACTATTTTCACTTTTTGCAAAAAGTTCACAAACAAACAGAACTACGCACTGCATAAATACCAGGAAAGCAGGACAGAGACAAGGAGTTCATAGCTGCTTTTCAAACAAAACTAGGATTATTGAATATATAATTGTGTAGCTACGGTTGTCGCCCATAATTCAAAGAAAAAGAAGAAGACTACTGTATAACTTCCATGATCCACCAGATGCCACCAAATGTTGATTATTGACTCGAGCAATTTCATGCTTTCTTTCTGCATCAAAAAAGACTTGATTATATAAGGATCATGCTTTAAAATGCTTAGTGAGAGAGATTATTCTGAATTGCAAGATAAAAAGGATGCAAACTCAATAAAACAGTCATTAGGTCTTCCGAGATGAATGGAAAAAGTCATGCACAGAAACAGGAAGATGCACCCGATAACCTCAATATCCTTACCAATAACAGCCTAACAAGTTGGAAGAACAATGTCACAGGGTTCAAATTCGAACTTATCAGCCTTTGAAGCACAATTTTTTGAGATTCTAAAATAGATCAATCATCAAATATCGACATAAGTTTTGGAAGTAAGAAGCATGCGATCCCAAACAGTTTGATCCCCTTATCCCTTGAAAAAATTATGATAATAACCTGCTATACTTGAGAATTGAAGAATCTTCATCTGGGAATAAACCCTCCAACCTCTAAGAAGTTGCATCTAGAGCATGGAAGATTGGAAGTTTGTGAAAATCACACATTCTGGCAAACTTGCTAGCTAAATCCATCTGGAACCAGGGAAATATGAATGCCATGGTATAAGTATTGGGCTCTCTTTCTGGTGCAAGAGAAGAGAAGAAACGAAGAGAGAGAGAGAGAGAGAGACGATCTGGCTAATTCTATATACAACTATCTAATGGCTGGAAAGAAAGACGACCTCACCTTCTCTGGTGTCTAGCTGACCCAGCTTGAAGTCTACCAACCCTTTTCAAGTCGGGACAGCATGCCGTTACTAGTGGATTTAGTGGTAAACTATTTATTCTAAATTTCCCTCCTCGCCTAGAATAGAAGGATAAGATTATTTGAATTCCAAGTTTTAATAGAAATTTTTTATTGACGAGCTATTTTGAAAAAATGGAAACTTAGGTAAGATGAGGAGATAAGGGGCGAAGGATATTCATGATATTCGGAAAGATTTATGTTCATTCGCAGAGAGAGAGAGAGAGAGTGAGTAGTGACACCCATAAGGGGAACAAATTACCAGAGAAAAAGTAATTGAAGCAAGACTAAAAGTCCAAAATCCAGTAAACATGTCCGTGCGTTTTCGATATTTCCGTTTCTATGGTATATTAGTTTCAGGAACAAAATTCAATGAACCTAAATTGGGTAAGAAGCACCAAAAATGCAATGAAATGAAAATTCAAGTTGAAGATGAACTCCCTCCTCTCCATTTCTCAAAACCGTCAATCTTTAATTTATCGTACATTTTTATTTCTTCAATTCTCGTATCAATATATTAAATGTCTTTTAGTTCATAAGAAAGAGATGAAGCTTCTCTCTAGCAATGATTCTAGGTGACGAACAAAGTGAAAACTACTGGGTATTTCTTTAGGGTTTTCTAAGTGATTTTCTGATTGGGGGAGAGGTTATTTCACATGGAAGAATGGTTCATCGGAGTGGAATTTTCCAGCCAGTGAATGAGGCGAGATAGAGAGGATGTGGGAAGAGAGGAGAGGCAAGTATACATACGGGCAAAAAAGTCATTTCAGAAAAAATATAAAGCTATTCACGCTCTCAAAGGAGGTGAAAAACACTTGTTGTGCCATGTCAGCACAATGTGTTTCATAGGCACATAATTGACATAGTCCAGGTATTCAATAGGTCACTCCTCCAGTTAAAGTGTTTAAATGATATCTCGTGAAAAGATCAAGGGATTGTGTATGTATTCAGCCTATTATCTATATAGTAATTTCTAGCTGCATATCGAGATTCAACCTTATTCCCTACTTGTCAGAAAATACATTATGGACTTTGTCGATTTGGTCAAAGGGGATACTACCATTGCAATGAACCAGGCCATATGAGAGATTGCCTTCAACTCAAGCAGGCCACAGCTACTCAGGCAGCTTCTACAGCTACTACTCTCTCACTGTATCTCCTCTAGTTCGGTCTAATAACCCAGTAGGTCGTGGTGTAGGTAGGAAAGGAGCTCAGGCAAGTGGCGGACTAACTAGTCTCTATGCCTCCATAGACCGTGTGACGCCCGTAACGAAGGGCGGGCCAATGAGGACGAGTTGAGTAGGACTGGCAGGCTTCTAGGCTGGCAAGTTTCTAATGAAGGGGTGCACATGTCACCTTAGGCGAATCCCACAATGGAATGGGGGACGAAAGTGCAGAGCTTTATAAGGCACAACAAGTTCACATGGTGCACGCGCTTTTGGGGCTCGATATGGTGTAGCCTGAAAGAAAATTCCTTGTGGGCCTAGGCCCAAAGCGGACAATACGTGTCATGGGCTTGGGTCATGACAAATATGGTATCAGAGTCGAATCTCCCTCAGTATGATAGTGGAGCAAACCTGAGCGAGGATGTTGAGTCCCAAGGTATGTGAATGTGACGCCCATAACGTAGGGCGGGCCAACGAGGGCGGTTCGAGTAGAACTGGCGGGCTTCTTGGTTGGCTAGGTTGGCAAGCTTCTGAAAAAGGGGTGCACATGTCACCTTAGGCGAATTCCATATCGGAATGGGAGAGGAAAGTGAAGAGTTTTATAAGGTACAACACAAATTCACATGATACACGCACTTTTGGGACTCGATATGGCGTAGCCTGAATACAAATTCGTGCGGGCCTAGGCCCAAAGCGGACAATACAGGCCATGGGCTTGGGCCGTGACAGACTAACAGAGTGCAGAGGCATCGAATATCGTCATCACAGGTAATTTAATAGTGTGTGACCATCTTTCTTATACTTTGATAGACCAAGGTTCTGCCGTCTCTTGTGTGTCACACTTCCTTACTATAGAATTTGGAAAAGAACCCAAACAACTAGAAATTTCCTTTGAGGTTTCATTACCTGTTGGAAACTCGTGAGGAGTTGATTATGATATGTCTTTCACATCGAAATGATATATCCTTTAACAACAAGAATTTAATCACAAACTGTCTATGAGACCTAATTGAGTAAAAGGTAACACTACGAACGGAAATACCATATTTTGTGAGCAAGGGAGATATATAGGATGTACAGGACAAAGGTCCTAGTTTGAAGGTGAGTGCGTGAGTTGATGATGTGAGAATGAACCCCGAGGGAGAGGTTCATGGAACACGACACAGCTAAGGCTAAGAACGTTGCGTATGTTGACATGGGAATATGAAAGTAGAAATAACGAGACTCTATGAATTACCACAAGCAGTTTTTTAAGCATAAAAAGAGTTGCCTAATGAGTAATGGTGAGTTTATTCCACTAGCAGTCCTAATAGTTGGACGACAGTTGTTACAAGAGAGAGTGATAACCTTGATGTGTATACTGATGCCTTGATGATGTTGTATATTGTGGGATCAAGTGATTGGAAGTAGAGATGATGCATTGTGATATTTGGGCAGGTGAAAGTTATTTGTATAACTCTAGTTATAAAGTAAACTTTGCCGAACATTCGAAAAACAGGGGGAGCTTGCCAAACTTTAGTACTCAAAGGATATAAGAATTTGACATTAGGCCTAAACCTTCCCTCTCAATTCAAGGGGTAACCAAGTTTGATAGTCGAGGACAAATGTCATATAAGGGGGGAGCCTATAATGCCCCGGAAAATCTTTTGCTAAGTATTACGTCATTCAAACCTTGAGATAGACACACGGGTGTTCGAAAAGTTCTAAAGAGGTATTCCGACATTCCTACAAGATCTTATTACTTTTTTACTAAAGGGTAGCAAAGCAGCAATCTGTTCCGGGAAAAATACCCTGGCACGACGTGCCATGCGACATGTGGCACGATTTCCATGCAACATATGGCATGACGTGCCAGGCCAAATTTGGGACAGATGGGCGATAATTTGAGTTTCTGAAAAAACCCTCTTGGCACGGGGTGCCATGCAACATATGGCAAGACATGCCACGTCAAATTTTTAGCCTATGTAACACTGAAATGCTTGTCTTACAAGTCACTTCGAGGAGAGAGAAACCTAGTTACTTCTACAGCATTTGGAAAGGTTTTTCAGAGCAAGAACGACCTAACGCTTCCCCAATCCACCCAAGATAAGATCCCTAGCCATAATAGGACTGCCACCAATAGTTGGAATATAAGCAGATATAACAGTGTGTTTCAAGCTGGTGCAGAACTATTAAATCATTGAGTTTAGGAAGTATAAAAGACTGTTAAAAGATTTTCAAGAGGAAACGAAATCAACCAGCAGTATATTCAGCTATTAAGAAGCTTTCTGTGGGCTGCACAACCTTTCTTATCATCATCGTTTCTTCTTGTAATAAATCAGGTAATGATTTAGAAATGCCTTATGAATGAAACCACACAGTAGCAGTTCAAAGACACAGACCAAAAAAACTATTTTCAGATAAAAAACACCCGGTGATTATATCAACAAAATCAAGTATAAGAACCAAGGACACGAAAGACACAAAACGACCAAAAGTAAATATATCCAACTAATAAAGGCTACACCATATTTTTTTCTTGTAAACCTTTCACTTGTAAAAAGGAATTTGCATGGGGAATACATCAAAAAGAAGGATCATTTCCCACCTGAAGTTATGTATTTGATCCTGCAAACACCTCAAATAAGCCACAGCAACTCTTCCAGGAAGTTGTTTGCACTGGTCGCGGAGCCAAAGCCACCGGCTGATGCAAATAGTTATGTAAGGGAAAAAGTTAAAAAAAAATTCACTACATAAAGAATAAACAATTTGGACCGTTCTTAAACTGCAATGCATAATTTGGAGCATTCTTACAACTGAATGAATCAAAAAGCAAGAGAAGAATGTAGAAGACCTGATGCTCATAGCATTCGCGAGTGGGAGTATCTTTCACATTATCTGGATGAACAGTGACATCAACTGTAGGAGCATTGTAAGACAGCTCTAGTTTGTCTTCATCTTCTTTGACCGCGAAGGCTTTTGCATCTGAAGCTGCTACAGCACCATCATGCAATGTTTCACTTGCTTCATCAATCCTTTTCTCTAATTCCAGCAGAACTTCTGAAACCGTGGCTTTTCCATCCACAAAACCCAAATTTCCCTTCATTGCCGGTTCCACAGTATGTGATGTCGTCACATTATCAGTATTAGATGAACCCGTTGTCACTTGAATTGCGTCTTCTGATAGGGAAGCCTTATCTAGATCAGATAAAGAGGCTGTTTCCACGATCGATTTACGAGCATCTGTTCCTGGAAGGTTCTCAGCGACTTGGTCATTAGCAAAAGAATCAGGTTCCTTCACTAATTCACCAGGTGGAGCATTATCAACCGAGAAATTCTTGTCAACAACAGCAGGTTTTTCATCCGAACTGCTGCTACTGCGGCTGCTGCTGCTACTACTACTACTAGAACTCCTCCGTAAGCCTTTTTCAGGAGGTTCTTTCCCGGGTTCAACTTGCTCAATATTTATGTTCAGGCTCTCGGATCCATCGTGCTTTAGGTCTTCTCCTACCATAGTATGGTTCATCCCCCAGTGATTCAGAAAGGAATCAAGTAAATTACAATCACCCAGAAGTTATATAAACCCACATATCAAAACTAACTTTAAATAGAAAATGACGAAATTAACATGGGTTGGTATTGATTTCAGAAATTAGAAACGACTCTGAGCAATACAATCATGAATCAAGCACAAAACACTCTTATATACAAATGTGTGCATCCAAAACTAAAAAGACAATTAATTAGAGAATAACAGCGAGACACATGAGTACGGAAAAACATATACTAAAGTAAGCGATACAAGAGCATATAACAAAGCAATTGAGAGACAAGTCAAAGCTGTAAAGTTGTTAAAGATGAGAAATTGATACAAAAGTGGCATATTGGTATGTACAGATTGGACTAACAGAGCGTAAAGCACAGTAGCACATCTACTACAGTCTAGACGAGTAAGATTCACTTGACAACTGTAACAGACTGCTCAATGATTTACTAAAACGAAGCACAAGCTGATGAAAAAGATTTAAAAAAAGAAAAAGGAAAAGAAAAAGTTAAGTAATATTTAAAGTGGGGAACAAGGAGGGAAGTACCATGAGAGTAGGAAGGGTCCTTTGCTTGCAATTCCTTCTTTTTCTTGGCAGCTTTACGCTTCTTGGCACCTGATGGCATGATGATTGTTCGATTCTAACGGACCCTCTCTTGTTCTCTGACTCTATTTAATTCTGTAACTTTGCTTTGTGGGAGTTGAAAATGGTAGGAGTAATACTTAAAAAGGACTGGCAGATTGTGGGAGGGAGATGGGGATTGGCTCACCCCTATGGCTATTTCACGAGGGGCGTCACTTTTCCGTGAATATTGTCCGTATTACTCCCACTTCTTTTGTTTTTAATTTAATTGTTATGTCCGTATTCAAACCTCATACTCCCTCACTTTTAATTTTGATTGAAATTATTTTTTTTTAGTCCGTGTCTAAAATAATGACTTTTTTATATTTGAATATTGTTTTTATATAATAATTTATAGAGACACAAAATATATATGCTTTATTTTAAATCACAAGTTCAAACTTTCTATTTTTTCTTAAATTATGTGTTCAGTCAAAATAGGTTCAAATAAATTGAAATTTAAAAAGTACTATTTTTTATTTTATCTTATTTTTGGGTTGGGGGGATAGAGTTTTTTTTTTCTTTTAAAAAGTCAAAGTTAAAGTTAGGGTGTTTGGCTAAGCTTATAAGCTGGTCAAATTGGCTTATAAGCATTTTTTGGCTTATCTACGCGTTTGGTAAAATTAAAAGTGCTTATAAGTTAAGTGCTTATAAGCAAAAAATAAGGCAAAAGCCATAAGTTGGTCTCCCCCAACTTATCAAATTTCAGCTTATAAGCACTTTAGGTTTGACCAAAATATTTATTATTCTATCCCAAAAATACTTCTTTTTAAAACAAAACTCTTTGTATACCCAATTTTTTAGCTGCTTATTATTAATTTCAGCACTTTTATCCAAACACGTAATTGCTTATTTTTTAAATCAGCTTCAGCACTTAAAAGTGCTTTTCAGCGCCTATGCTTATCAGCTACTCTAAACCAGCTAAGCCAAACGGGCTCATAACCATCTCTTCAAGCGCGCTCAAAATTGGAGTAGCAAGATCTCATTATTTTCCATTAAAACGTCATGAGAGTGAGTTTTGGTGGAAATCTTTATTCGAAATGTTTTGATGTTTTAACTTTTTCTACGCCTTCATTATTAACTTTTTTTATATTTTTCATTTCAAATCTTGATTATTTTATACTGGTTCATAATAATACCATCTTTTGTAGTAATTATTTAATTTTAATCGTTAAGTGTTAGCTAATAACAACTATATCCAAATATTATTCGTTTAGTGATTGATGAGTTTTCAATGTCTCAACTTTATGTTTTGATGATCTAACAAACTTACTGTTAAGAACCAGATAGGGAACCTGTTGGTATACATTGCTAATCAGCAGACTCCAGCTAATTAGAACTGCTGCAACCTTAGAAGATAGAGAACCAACATAGGGACCTGATCCCTTGTGTTTCCCTAACAGCAGTACGAAAGTCAACTGCGTACAGCTGGAAAGTGACTGCCACAGAAACAGTGCACACAATGCAGCACAGTTCTGCAGTCACTTATTTTTTGTTACGACCCAGATTTCCCACCCTCGGGAGTCGTGATGGGCGCCTACTAATAGGAGCTAAGCAAGCCAATTAGTTTAACATTTCTCTCAACATCATTATCAGTATAAAGAAGAACGAGGCAATTAATATAAAAGTGGAAGTCTCGAAACATAAATAAAAGAAACCAAGTGCGGAATTTCAAATACACCTGTACCCAGATCTGGTGTCACTAACTCACGAACTTCTACTGAATGCTAAAAACAAAGTCTGAATAAGAATACAGTACTGTCTGATCCGATACAAGGAAAATCAAACGAAAGACAGAGATAAGAGAGACTCCGGGCCATGCGGACGCCAGCAAGCTACCTTGGAAATCTCCGGACTGAAGTAAGCTCCCAACGCTCCTACTGCTGACCAAAGGCTCCCGCTCCGGTACCATGATCTGTGCAAAAAGCACAGAAGTGTAGCATCAGCACAACCGACCCCATGTGCTGGTAAGTGCCTGGCCTAACCCCGGCGAAGTAGTGACGAGGCTAGACAGGACCTACCAAAAACAACATGTACAGATGTATATATATAACAAGGCAACAGAAATAACAACAGAGAATGTCAACTAAAAAGGGGAAGGGGGCATGCTCGGGGAAAATACAGCGAATACAGATCCTCGGATATAACGACGAAACTATCTCAATACCATAGCTCATATATATAAGTGATCGGCGCGCCACACGATCCCATTTCTTAATTCATAAGTGGACGGCGTGCCACACGAATATAAAAGTGGACGACGTGCCACGCGATCCCATTTCATAATATATATATATATATATATATATATATATATATATACATATATATATATATATATCGTGCCACACGATTCCATATTATAGTTCAAAATATCTGACTTTGTAAAGAAGGCCCCATTTGGGCAATTCGACAACATAACATTTTAACCCGGCAAGGGTACAGCTAACAGCCCAAATATCCCGGAAAGGGAGAGTACGTAATAATAGTCTACACGTCCCGGCAAGGGGATAATCACAACACGCCCTCTTTTAAATACTTCTTTCTCTACTATCACATTCTTGTTCGAGCCAACGCTCCAAAATATATCAATCACAATTCTTCCTCAACCGCTCACATTATATGAAATTTATCAATTAAACAAGGAAGTCGTGTCACATCATTCGAATTAAAAGCAATTAAGACTCATGGTCATGCTAGACTCCGGTGCATAGATAACCGTCACCATGCCTATACACCGTACTCCACATTTAGCAAGTAGCAAATAACATCCTAATCCTATTCCCTCAAGCCAAAGTTAGAACAAACACTTACCTCGGTCCAAGAATAGCAATCAACTCTCTAATACCGCCTTTCCTCTACAATCCGGCTCCGAAACAATGGTATCTAGTCATAATTAGTTCAATAATATCAATAAGGACTCAATGGCAACATCCCATAGCCTAGATATGAATTTCCTAGCATTCTTCCAAAAATACCAAAATTCGACACCAGGCCCACATGGTCCAAACACGAGGCTCGGACCAAAACCCAATCACCCATAACCCCACGAGTTCAAATATATAATTTATTTCAAGATTCGACCCCAAATTGAGGTTGAATCACCCAAAATTCTCAAAACCCTAACTCTACCCATAACCCTTAATTTCTACTTTGATTTCATGATTTAGGGCTAGGAAATTAGTAATTAGATGAAGAAATAATGAGGGAATGATGTTAAGATTACTTACCCAAAGAGTTATGGAGGAAGGAGAGCTTGAATTTCGTCTATGGAGGGTTTAAGAGAAGAGCTCGTGTGAAAAAAAAATGAGAAATCCCGTGCTGCTACTGTTCTGGACATAAAAATATAACTGGGCGTATTTACTCTATGCTATCGCAGAAAGGGGCTTGCGATCGCATAGGGGAAGGGAAAATTGACCACTGTGATCGCAGAATGGGTCATGCAAACGCATAGAAGAAAAGGGGCTATGCATACCGGGGTTGGTTTAATGAAACGTGATCGCGGAAGCTTAATGCGACCGCAAAGAATGAAGGGGCTAAGGTACGCGATCGCAGAGGAGTTCATGCGATCGCACAGAACAGAAAATGGGCCTGATCAATTAACCCTACGCGACCGCAGAAGAATGTATGCGATCGCAGACACCAGCAACAGCAGTTTTCTGCAATTTTTCTTAAGTTCAAACACCCCGAAACACTCCCGAGCCCTCGGGACTCCTAACCAAACACACACACTAACTCAATAACATCCTACGAACTAACTCGAGCGATCAAATCGCCAAAATAACATCAAAATCAATGAATCAAGCCTCAAAATCATCATTTTTCATTTCAAACTTCTTAAACTTCAATTTTTAGATATTTAGGTCCGAAACACGTCAAATGACGTCCGATTTCGACCAAACTTTACAGAAAGCGCTTAGCACATATTTAAGACTTGTACCGGGCGTCGGAACCAAAATACGAGCCCGATACCATAGTCTTTTAAATAAATTTTCATTCTCATTTTCCTTAATAATTTCAGAAAAAAACAATTTCACAGAAAAATTTATTTCTCGGGCTCTCGACCTCAAAATTCGACTCCGGGCATATGCCCGAGTCTCATATTTTTCTGCGGACCCTCCGGGACCGCCAAATCACGGGTCCGGGTCCGTTTACCAAAAATGTTGACCAAAGTCAACTTTAGCAATATTAATATCAAAATTCTTTAAATTTTTCACAAAGTTCACATATTTCAACATAAAAGCTTTCCGGCTTCGCGCCCGTACTGCGCACGCAAATCGAGGCAACTAAAAGCGAGGTTTTCAAGGCCTCGAAAGTACGGAAATAGGAAGAAATCCGGTGATGACCCTTTGGGTCGTCACATCTTTTGACCAACCAAGTGCTTACATCATTCAAGTGATGTCATCAAAGGTGTATTAACAAGAGTATTACAACAAAACATCACTTGAACACTTGAGAATTCACTTCAAGCATTCAAGTCTTCTGAGATCGGGCATTCAATTCTCAAGTGCAACAAGAACAAAGTTAAACGCTGCTACGGACCAGTTCCTAAATCTAGTATTTTGTTGTCCTTAGTTGAGTTGTAACTTTGTAATTGTTCTTCATTGTAATTCCTAATTTGCTTAGCTAGAAGCGCTGCGTAGGAAACTCTTTGTAAAACCATAAACCTGTTGTGTTTGTGTCGTGACTAGAGTTAGTCATGAGTTGAAGTCTTTGTAATAGGTGTATTGCAAAGTGGCTTGTAATAGGTGTATTACGAGTTAGTGAGGGATTAAGGGTTTAATTCCTAGATTGCATAGGTTGTAATTTAAAAGTTTCTCATAGTGAAGTTGAAATCCTACCCGTGTAGGTCGTGGTTTTTTATCCCCTTGAGCAGGGATTTTTCCACGTAAAACTCCCTGTCTTATTTACTTACTGTTTTATTAGTGTTCTCAGTGGAAACTCATAGAGGACCTGGTACTCTATAGTTTGGCGAACTCATATAAACTATCAATTGGTATCAGAGCGGGTTCTTCCTATCAGGCTAACACCTAGGACGGATCCTTATGGCTGCTCCACCAAATTTTGAAGAAAGTCAGTCTACGTATAGACCGCCTAGGTTCAATGGGCAATACAATGGATGGTGGAAGACAAGAATGCATGATTTTATCATGGCTGAAGACTCTGAATTGTGGGACGTCATATGTGATGGT